CAGTTGAACCACTTACTCATCGATTGAACCAATAATTCAGTAATCTAATGTTTTGTTCGAGTCTGACGATCAAATGGATTCTAATAACTATGATAAAATACTAAAACTGGTTGAGTTAACCATATATTAGAAAAAAGATTTTGAGACTTCCCATGTTAGATAAGAACAAAAAGGAGTTGAGTTTAGGTCCCCAATGTCTCTTAGTTGAAGAGAACGATGATCTTCGCGTCCAATAAGGATGAAATGCTATAAAATTAAACCAATTAGTGGGGGGTTTTAATGTTTTTTCAGATTAGAAAAAGAGGGCTTTGATTAATTAATATTAATCTTCCAAAACTATGGGCTTAAAGCTGACACGTTTAGACCAATCCTCGTGTATTTTGTCGTTGCTATTGCTTTATTATGAATCTTATGTTTTAATTGTGAAACACACTCATAACGAAAATGCTATGCCTACTCGATTATGACTCCGACTCAAATTTAAAATATATGAAAAGCAAGTTAAAGGCACATCCACCAACTAATCAGTGGAGAGACAGCTCATTACCTCTTTAATTTTTATTTAAAAAAAGCTACTAATAAAGGTCTTATATATCAAATGGACAAGGACTTCCACTTTCTAGCTAGGGTTATGGCTTGATCCTTATTTTGGGGGAAAATGTATTTTTGAATAGTAATTTTTTGAAAAATGTATGAGAAAATTTTCAATTTACGTGTAAAATTATTTTACTGAAAAATGTATAGTTACAAATGAGTTTTTGGAAAAAAAAAAAAAAAAGGATAACTATTAATTAAAGACTATTTTAAAAAATAGTCGAGTCAGGTTGTACTTTTTATAACTATAATTGAGATACTTGATCTTTTTAGAATGACTCTTTCATTTAAGGACTAAATTAGGATACACGATCTCTTTGTTGAGCTACTTCAACTTTATATGATACTTGTTTTGGTAGTGATTGCTATGAGTTGGATACAGAGGTGTCGATAGCCAATTTTTGTAGTATTTTATATATGAGAAATGTTATTCTTGAATTGGTAAACATACATTAAAAGTGTTTGGAATTGACTACTTGTGCGTTTATGTTTAAAAGTTGTTTATTCCCTATCTTTTTTATTTTCCTTGAACATCATTAATGTTGTTAAAAAAATGTGTCCAAAGAACAAATAAATGCACAATTGAAGAGAGAATGGAGTTTTGTTGAGCAACTTCTTTTATATTTACTTTAGAGATGATTGACACGAGGTTAAATATGGGGTTTTTTTTTCTTTTGTTTGATGCCTATTAAAAAAAGTTTTTTTGAAAAAAAAAAAGGAGTTTTGCAATAGAGATTTTTGGAGAATTCGTAGTTAAAAGGTCGAAAAATTTTGAATTTACTTGTAAAATATTTTGTTGTTAGAATATGTGGTTGAAAATGAATTTTTGAAAAATGATATACAAACATGAGCTTAGTGAAATCTCAAAGGCTCATTAAGATTTTGTGGGGTTAGAATTTTAAATGAGCGTGGAGAGGTTTAGAATCCTTTTGTCATGGCTTTTGAAAGTCAAAATGAGGTTTATGGGCCCCCGTTTGGTGCACATTTTTTAAAAAAGAATGCATTTTTACTGTTGATGTGTGTTGATGTGATGGGGAATATGTGGTTGAAAAAGAAGAAAAAGTTATTGATTGATGGAAAATATTATTAGGAATATTAGGTTGTGTACCCTACTAAAATAAGTATTTTGATTAATACATTTTAATCTAATTAAACATTTTGATCAAGTAATAATTACGTCCTAATCTAAACTATTAACTAAGACTCCAACCCCGCAAAACACTAAAGTATATGCTAGTCAAATTTCAAATTCCAAATGCTCTCCCTTCTCTCTAGAATCACCCAAAAATGAACCAAACTTCCGGCAACTCTCGGTAGGAAACATCGCCGGAATTGGATACCGATCGACAGCCCCTAACATCTCCTTCAACTACCAACAAACATCATCCAATTCCATCAAGTATTTCAGTCGGAATCAATGCTCAAAGTTCATTGCCCAACAATTTGAAAACGGTCGGAAATCCCACCTTCGGCCACACCTATGGTCGCGGAACCCTACTGGCCTCTTCACTACATCCAGACGAGATTATACATGGTGGCAGTTCATCCATATCATCTCTCAAACAGGCTGAATTTAATTCTGAAAACTACCCAATCACGAAGCTCGCGATTCCACCAGCGAAGAACTCGATTTCCAGAACCATCCGGTGCACCCATGGATGCGGACCACTTGGGATATGTTCGCCTTCACCTGGCGCTCCTAGCCCATGTATGGGTCAACACCAATTTTACCCACAGAAACACGAATTTGATCCAGAAATGCAGGTAGTCGCGAACTCGCTGGGTGTTTTGTTGGGGTGCTGGGTATTTTGTTGTTTGGAGCTTTGGGTACCTAGGTTTTTGCAGATTTTCTGGGCTTTTGGTTGAAGGTGTTTGCTTCAACTTCATCTTTTGAAGGTTTTTGTATTGTGTATCTATTGTCGAAGATAATAGTTCAAGGAAGATGTTGGATTTTCTTGTGTTGACAGTTAGTGAATTCACGTGATCTTGCATGCCAAATTTTCAGCATTATTTCCTGGGCATAATTTGCAACTTTCCGCGTCTCTTAGTTTGGGGACTGCCATGTCTTTTAACTTTTGTCACTTTTCTGTATTTATGTTTTAAATGTGTAAGGATTATGAAAGTGAAATGCAATTTGTAGTTATCATCCCACGAATCTTGTATGAGGTGCTTGCATATATATGTTTTCAATGAGTAATCTTCTTGTAGTATCATAATAGTTTATCAGTTGTAAAGTTATTGTACTCTAACTAAAGAAATTGAATGGATTTGGTGCATTGTTTATTTTAGAATATGAGCATTTATACATTGTGATTTCTAGTAAATCAACATTTACAAAATGATTTTGGTAATCAAGATTTTTGAAGAGAGAAGCACTTATTTTTGTTTTCTAACAATTTTGATTGAATTTTGGTTGGAAATTAGAGAGAGAATGGAGGGTTGGGTGAGAAGAAGTGTTGTGAATGAATGGTTTGTCACTTTTTCGATTGGTGTTTTGTCATTTTTTCGAATGTTTGCAGTTTTTTTTTTTTAACTTTTGTCACTTTTTAGAACGTTTTGTCACTTTTTTTTTAAATTCATGTCACTTTTTAGTATTTGTCACTTTTTTCTATCACTTTTTTTCTATAGCTTTTTAAAAAATTTGTCACTTTTTTTTATAACAAACATCACTTTTTAATCAATATGTGGATTAGTACTATTTTGGTATTTGTCACTTTTTTGAGTTTGTATCACTTTTTAAGAGTGTCATTTTTTTTTTTGGTCACTTTTTTTGAATTTGTGTCACTGTTTTTTTAAAAGTAAAAGTAAAAAAGTGACAATTTTTATAAAAAAATTGAAATTATGTCACTTTTTCATTTTACACAGTATTTTGTACTTCTTAAAAACCTTTCATATAATTTTTCAAAGCATTCCTAATTTTAAGGGTATTTTTATAAGTACCTCAATATTATTTTATTAAAAAATGTGTAGTTAAAAATGAATAGAATAATGAGAATAAAACGTGGCTTCAAACAGGTACATCTCTTTATCAACATAAACATTGAATCTAGCAGAAGACCTGAGAATCTAATTCTAGAAATGTAATCGCATCCATTTACATTACATGGAATACATTCTTTTTCTTGATTACCGTTGGAAGTATTACATTTTGGAGGAAAAAAGGGAATTTTTACTGGAGACTATCATTATCTTATGCAATTGAAAATTGAAAATTCCATTATGAATATTGAATTCAAAATACACAAATTCCTCTCTCTCTCTCTCTCTCTCTCTCTCTCTTACAAATCACCCATAAATAACTATCTGCTTTCCCAAATCGACGATGCCATCTTTGTTGTTGCCAATGTTGGGTCTCGTATCAATTATTATTTTAACGTATTTTTTAATACCTTCAAGCAAATGGATGGGTCCAAGAAACCACCTCTTCTTGCATTATATTATATACCTCTCTGCGCCTCAATGCTCGCAACCCCTTTTCCTCTTTACCTATTATATACATACATGTTTTTATGTATGTATGTATGTCTTCTTTCTTCCTCTATTTATGCAGAATGTATAGTAGGGCTGTTTATGATATGTTCGAGCAGTTTAGATGTGTGTATTAATGCTTCTTCCATAACTGGACTTTTTGGCTTCCGGGGTAAGCTTCTATTGCTATCTCTGCTTGTAAATTAAGTGTATTAATGTGTTTAAATTTATCTTACCCTGATGTTTGCTTTGATATGTTTTCGCTTTGATTAATTTATTTCGTATTTTAGAACTGTTTTATGTTTTTATTACATCAATTGACAGACTACTGCTTTTGAAAAATTAATTTTGTAGATCTTTAGTTTTCGTGGGCAATAACTCATTAGATTAGAGTAATCGTTTGCTTCTGGTAGTGATCTTTGCGATTATAGATTTGTTTTTCATGTTCAGCTTAAAATTTTGTTTATTATTGGTTTCATTGGGAAAAGAGGCATCTGGTTTTGAACTATGACATCGGCCTTGTTTTCGTTTAAATGGGATTTCTCATGTGTGTACAGTGTGATACTTTTTGGGTTTTAAGTTTATTTCCCTTTTGTTCATCGGATGATGATGTGAAGATTTGAATGTATTGTTTTTAAAGTACTAAATGGTTTCTCTAAGTCTTCAGTCCTTGATGCAATGACTTTTAGTTGGATGTTAGAATTTCTATTATGGATGGAATATGGTTTATAATTACTCGATGATCATATTGTTTCATTTTCTTTTCTTTTGATTAGATGAAATTAGGAGGATTTTGGGAAATGAAAGAGGAACTTAAAGAAGAAAAAAAGGGTATTGGTGAAAATACTGATTGTTCGAAACAGAAACATTGGTTTGATTTGAATTTCAGTTGTGATGATTGGATTACTTTCGGCATTTCTGACTCAAAGAGGGTGAGGATGTGGGAAACTGGAAATACATCAGATTGGAATGTATCCAATCCTTCTGGTAATGGCGGTACTGATGGTTTGTCAGGTGAAGAACCTCAGGATGCAGATTATACTCACATATCACTTAGCTACGAATTAGAGAATCTAATTTTTGCTAGGTTTCCAAGGTCAGAGTATTGGAAATTATGCTTTGTGAATAAAAGGTGTTTGACTCTCTTTAAAAGTGGCGAGCTTGATGAGATTAGAAAGAAAATTGGATTTAAAGAACCATCTGTTTTCATGCTAGCGACTGGGGAAGGTAATTGGTGGGCATTTGATCGAGAATTTAGGTCCCGTAGAAAGCTTCCAGTTCTACCTTCTGATCCCTGTTTTACTTCTGGAGATAAAGAGACGCTATGTGCTGGTACTCACCTTCTCGTTTCTGGCAGAGAAATTGACGGTCTTGTTATTTGGAGGTATGAATCGGATGAGAATAAATGGTTCAAGGGTCCATCTATGATTAGCCCGAGATGCTTGTTTGCATCTGCAACTTGTGGCACCTTTGCTTATGTGGCTGGTGGGATGGGGATGGAGGCAAATAATGAAGTCTACGACACTGCTGAAAAATATAATCCGGACAGTGGATCATGGGAACCACTTCCAAGGATGAGAAAAAGGAGGAAGTTTTGCTCCGGATGTTACATGGACAATAAATTTTACGTGATTGGTGGGAGAAATGATGATGGAGAACTAACCTGTGGTGAATTTTTCGATGAAAACAAAAACAGATGGGAGCTCATTCCCGACATGTTGAAGGATGATCCTGTACAATCATCCCACTCACCACCACTTCTTGCTGTCGTAAATAATGAACTCTACTCACTTGAGTCTTCTTCCAACCAGCTGAAGGTGTATCTGAAGAAGACAAATACATGGAAGCCGCTGGGGCAAGTTCCAGTGAGAGCCGATTGCAACAGAGGTTGGGGAGTCGCATTCAAGTCTCTGGGAGACGAACTGCTCGTGATAGGAGCATCGACTTCTTCATGTGCTAGTAATTGGATGGCTATATATACGTGCTGCCCAGATTCTGATGCCTGTAAATTACGGTGGAGACCTATTGACAGTGGCAGAAACCGGCTTAGTCACTTCATTTTAAACTGTTGTGTTATGGTAGCTTGAGGGAGTATTCTTAAGGAATTTGAATCCGTATTATCATAAACACCCCCTCATTGCAAGATTGATTGTCCTGATGTGTAATCTTAATATTACTACTTGTACTTCATATAAATCCTCCTGTTTGTTTGCCTTTTTTCACTTGATTTAATAACCTCTGTAAGGTATTGACTCATTTTATATTTGAAGCTGCTCATCTTTTTCAAATTCTCGTTCTCAGTTTTTTTTCCGTATACGATTACATTTTCTCTACATGTTTGTTTGGCACAGTTTATTAGGAAATCATTTTTCCTCAAAACCCACATTTTTTCAATAAAATAATTTCTAAGTTTTTTTCTACTTTTTAACATATCACTCAAAAAAAATTTATTTTCACTTCAAATAATGTCTTCCAAACAAACATTGACTCTCTCATAATGTCATTGTGTGATATGTAGCTATGCAGTGCATCAGTGAATGAGCAACTGAACAAGGAAGTTTAATTCGGAGTCTACACCAAACACATTATCAATGCAAAATACTTTTGTTTACAAGTAGGTATTAGTTGTAATGTGTATTATATGATCGAGAATTAATGATCGTAAACTGTCAATTTTTGTCATCATGTGATAATATTTATTGACATTAAAATTTAGTCATAATCTTACTCGCACTCTAATAATAAAATTAGAATAATGTTAATTGTACATAATGAAGTTATATAATGATTTACATACAGACGAGGTCTCAAAAAGAGAGTGAAAAAATATATATATTTTTTATTTGGTTGAAAAAATTCCGAACTAATCATATATCACCACATGATGTGTATATAAATTATTATGTACATGTAGCATAACCGAAAAATTAGAATCGTACCAAAAAAAAAAAAAAGAGTGATTGTAGGTGAGATATCACATCAAGTGAATTGTCATGTTAAGAATCATGTCAACTAAAATACAATGGAGGATACACGGGTTCATGTGTCTTCAACAGCTTGAATGAATGCCTCAAAAACAATGAAATAAGGTTCGATCCTTAAAAAAAAAAAAAAAATTTAACTTAATTTTGACTCCACAATGAAAAATGTCTGAATTTGTCACTACTAACACACATCCATATTCGACTCGACATATTTGCTACACAGTACAATTCATCTACTAATATTTATTTTTATTAAATTCTTTGGACCTTTTTATATTATTTTCATCCAGTAACTGATCAGAAGAAAATGGTGAAGAATTTGCTGTAAATGAAGAACAAAACCTATCTGAAAGGGAAGAACTGGGTAACTTATCTCTCCAATGAAGAGAGAATCCTTGTTTACCTTTGTTGACGTTAAAAAATGTAAGGATCAATTTAAGTCAACTTTGAAAGTAAATTAAAGAGAAACTCAAGATTTTTCGATTATCACCTCTAAATTACAAGTATTTCATCCAAAGAGATATTTTTTAAAGATCCCAGTCTCCTCCTGTCCAAAAATTATAGGTAAAGAAAATCCAGTATCACCCATTTTCGTGTCTTGTCAATCACCAATGCCGAACTAAAAAGTACATTAGTGGCATATCTCTATTGGTTGTTGAGGTCGGCTTGATAGGTTATCATGAAACTGTCCTTTAAGTCGATCCCTCGCAATTAATCAGCTAGTAAGTAAGCGAAGCTACATAATATGATTGGCGAAATAAACAGGTGCTGACGTAAGTTCTTGATGCAGTAATTAATTTGATTGGATGTTTTATCAGTATGTGAGAAATCTATAATCATTATGTTCCCTCGAACATTGACAATACGACCTGACCTTAAGAGGCCCATCTTAGATTGAGATATACTAAGTGTATGTAACAATCGGTCTAAATTAGGTCGCATGTCGAATGTTAACAGTTACCCCTAGGTCAGTTCTTGCATAGGTGAAGGACTGACCTTGGACGTAATTGGTTCGCTTTTCCATGCTTCATTTTTATTACAGTAATAACTAGACAGGACAGGTGTCACTTTTTGCTCTTGATGAGCTGTCACGCACACAAATTAGCTTCTTTGGGAAGCTTTGCCAAAAACAACGATGTTTAAGTCTGGTAGGATCTGGCCATTGATTTTCCTTCCTATTTTCCCATCTTACGGTCTAGGATGCGTCTCTTCATCTCTTATCTCTTTACATGTGTTTTTTCTTTCATTTTCACACTTTTACTCTCGGATTTCTCTTTCAAAGAAGTAAAAGATTTTCTTCAATAACTTTTCTATAAAGTCTTATTTATTTTCTGAGTGAAGTCGTTCATTCCCAGACATTCTCCGTAACAGAAAATACCTTTCTTTTTACTGCATTTTAACCTCGATCACTTGCATGAGTTCGGCCAAATTTAGGGTTCATTCATGGGCAACCAACAGGAAGAAGTAGCATCTTCTTCATCTACATCCTCTGCAAGTTTGGACTGTCAGGAATTTTAACTCCAGTCCCAATCGTCACCATACACGCATAAAATTTAGGCCAGAATAAAAATATGGAACAAAACATCGAGAGGGAAGAGGTCGGGTCTCATGAAGGGGATGAGGGAGTTCGCAGGAGTGGGGGCTGATTTGTATAAATTAGTAGTGACAGGGGATATGTTAGCAAGTTTGAGGGTGAAATATAATATTCCTATCTTAGTAGAACTAATAATTCCCACCTCATATGACCGAGCTAACGCTCCTCCAGTAGGATGCGTAGCTTTAAATTCAATTATCTTTAACATCGGGCTTAGACTTTATTTTCCTAGGATTATTCGTAAATTCTTTTGTTAGTAGGGAATAGCTCCTACTCAATTGTGTCCCAATGGCTGGAGGACGTTAGTTGCCACTCCAATTTTGTGGAGTAAATTAGGTCATCTTGAGCTAAGTGTAGCACATTTCAACTCCCTCTTCACCTTTAAAGAGGATGGGAAAAACACCAGCTGGTGGTACACTAGTGTTAGGCCTAGGACTGGTGGTCCTAAAGTACTAGATTCTCTCTCCTCAATAAAGAAGTGGAAAGAGGAGTTCTTTTTTGTGTTGGGGGAGTGGTAGTTACACCCTGCTAAGGTGAATATGGAGGATGTAGTTCCCACTCTTTATCACCCACTGTATAAGTGAGCACTTCAATATTTCCCTACATTTGTTTTATAAGCACATTTATAATTTAATTAATTTTATCTGCAGAGTACAAGAAGACGACCTTGACCTCAGAAATCCAGAAGTTAGCCGACACGGTAAGAGCTCTTCCAAAGAAGCAAAGGTCTTGCAAATTCATCATATCTGATTTCAACCTCTTCCAAGTGGGGTTGTTCCAATCTCTTCCTCCAACTTCGACCTCAAGCAGAGCTCCTACAACTGTCCCAACCTCTTCCAGTAAGTATCTTAATTAATATCTCCATTAATGTTTGCCTTAGACATGCTTAACACGTGTTTGTCGTTCTTTTTGCTCCAACTCAAAATCAAGAGATGTTGGGATACAAGGCCACGAAAGTAGTAGCTGCTATCGCCAAAGGCAAAAAGAAGATTAGTTCTACCGAAGTCGTTAGCTAACCTCAGGAGGTTGTGTAGGCAGATGAGACTAAACTTGAGCAGGAGGTTCAACTTTTAAAGCGTCGTCGTTCTGACAAAACGCCAGATAAGTGCACTCCCGAGACTTCAGCTCTAGAGAGGTCCTCCACTGAAATCCCTCTCAAAAAACCGAACTCAATCCCAACTTCTATCCCTACAATAACAAGGACTAGCTCTTCAAGGTCGCAAGAAAGGTTCTCATACTTGCAGAGGCCAAACGTTGAAAATTTACTAGGCCATCAACCTGACATTTTCCTAGACTTCCTCCAAGCTCCATCCCCATCGATGGAATCCGTTATAGCACTTCCCTCTCCTTTCAGAGAATCTGCCAACCTCCTTACTAGGAGCTGGAATGAAAGGGGAAAATAATTCTTGACTAAGATGCTAGTGGGTGAGGCCATCATCTCAGCTCAGCTGCATAGCCACAAATCTATCATGTACATGATGTCAGTAGTAGATAAGGTAGTTCATTTAAACTCAAATGGTTTTAAATATCTTCTTTAGTTTCATTACTGACACTACTTTTCTTTGCTTAGGTCAAAGCCGAGCTAGATAAAATGCTCGAAGTAAAAAATCAAGCCTTAGGTTTGTTTAAGAACATGGAAGCTGAGCGAGCAAAGTTCGCAACAAAAGAAAAAGATTATGAAGATCGCCTCAATAAGATGGGAGTTGAGTTGGAAGCCAAATCTGCCTCTGAACTAAAATATATGGATAATACTAAGCCTCTACAAATTTGGGAGGGGAAAGCAACACAATGGGCAGCTACTGAGAAAAAAAAAGGCTGAAGGGGAGAAAGCTCGAGCTGATGAAGAATGAGCTCGGGCTGAAGAAACTATGAAAAGAGTTGAAGAGGCCACCAAGAGGGCTGAAGCTAAAGCTTCCAAGGCAATGGAGATCTGGAGGGCCTCTCCTGAGTTTGATGGACTTGCTCATGATGCCTATGTCGTGGCCTTGGGAGAGCTTATAAAACATATTGGAAAGGTGAGGCTAGATTTCGACACGGGCTTCTTGATGGAATCTATAGAGGAGCAAAAGAAGGACCTCCAAAGATTATCCGAAGCAAATGGAGTTCGCATCTCTCCAGTTGATGAAGATATTGAAGATGAAAGTCCAGCTCCACACAAGACCCAGCTCTTCCTTAGGATTTTTAAAAAAAAAATTGTTTAAAAATTGCTTAAATGAATGATGTAAAATTCTTATTTTGTTAATGAATGAATTTTAGTTTATCTTTTACTTTGCACAATACGTTGCTTACTTTTACAACATAAATTTATCTAAGTGTTGCAGTACATACGACCTTAGCTCAGTTTGCTAACGAGCAAAGCTTTATACATCTCTTAAGAGAAATTTGTCTAAGTGTTGCAGCACATGCAACATTAGCTCAGCTTACTATCGAGCAAAGCTTTATACCTCCCTTAAGAGGGAATTTGTCTAAGTGTTGTAACACATGCAACCTTAGCTCTGCTTGCTACCGA